CTCCATAGACTAAAAATGCAAAAATGCAATGTTACAAATTTTGTTTGTAAAAAAACACTTACCAGCCATACACTTTTCATAAATGTGATTTGTATGAGTAGCAGTAATCATAATGAAATGGAAAGATAAAACTTTTTAGTTGCTTGACTATCATTCTTCCATAATGAAATTGTATGGCCATGTATTCAATTGTATTTTTAATCTTTGTCCAGACTTGGTTTTCTACCCAAAAAAAAACTTTTTTTCAAACTATTTTTTGTTTTTATATGTTAAAAACTGTAAAAATTCTTACAAAAACGAAAGTCAAATTTTTCAATATTGAGTTTTTTTATAGAAGTTTTTTGATTTTTATCAAAAAACTGCGTTTTTTTTCTGTTGTGAGTAAAGGTGGTTTTCTATGTTCAACTCAGATGGCGAATTTTCTAATGCAGATTGTTGTGAGATTATCGCCACTTATCCTATGGGTTGTTCTCGTTTGAGAAAATCTTTGAATATTGTGTTACGGTCCAATTGAAAAATTCAGGCACAACTCAAATTGCTTTCATACTTAGTCATATAATAACCATTTAAAGCAAAACGTTCTCTTTTAGAAGAATACTACTAGTCATACAATTCTGATACATAAAAGAAGGCTTGTCATATTGTTTTTTTTCTTCAATTACTGAATGTAAACAATGCAAGTGCCATACATGAAAAATGAAGGACATTAAGACTCGTTCAATTAACTTGTTTGGATCAATTTATTGAAAATGTTGCTGACTGGGCCGTATTAACTCTGAGTCAAAAACTTTGAAGCTCAATCAAGCTTTGGATTGCTGTTGGTTCGAAACGAATATGTCGTAAATTTTATCTCTTTGTGTGCATTACAATCAATTATTTTTCAAATGCCAACTTTACGGACGTATTGGTTTCTTGATTCCAGATAATTTTTTTGCAGCAGTTTGTTTATTCAAAAAATATTAAAACTAAATAATCATAATCCATCTAAGTAAAACGTATATTTAAATTTTTGCTCAATCTTGTCTTGGAAAACAAAAACTTCATTCCCAATTATCTTTTAAACAAGACATGTAGTACAACTAGATTAATTAAGAATCAGCAAAATGAAAACACAAAGTTGTGGACAAATAAGTAGCTTGGTTGCATCTGGCCAAAAAAGTGCTACCTAAACCTAAATGCGGTCAATTGGAACAATTCTTTGGATCAGTTTCATCTAGTGCGACCACGTTTGGCTCAAAAATGAGTTAAGAATACTTAAGATTTAAATTATGTTGAAAATATGATTTTTCGCGTCTCAATGAGCCTTAAAACAAAAAAAAATTTAAAATTGAATTGTTTTTCAGTATCTAGAGAAAACTAGAGAAAACACACTGCTAGTGACATCCACACTCAAATCTACAATAAGTAACGTTATGGAGGACCCGAGTAACCCGAAAAAAGAAGAACTAGAAATACTTAATATCCTATGGTTCCGACCAGTGAAAGTGGGAAGGGACTTTGTATTCAGATGAGTTTTAGTTCTTTTCTTGTTTTCCACGCAAAATCGGGTAAACTAAAAAATCGGCGAAAAGGATCGATTGACGCATAAATTTAAAGCCCTTGCAGTCATGATTCGAACTCTCAAAAAGTTTTTCAGTGAAAAAAAAACCGTTTAAAATTTTTTTTATTGAATTACGAGCAAAAATAACGGGCCATCAGGCTTATAATACAAAAAAGAGGCTTAATTCTACTGCAGAAATATTTCAGTAGTTTTTAGCGTCTTCTTGACAACAAAAAAATCCTGAAAAACAGTAAGAAAATGCGGAATTTTGAAAAAAAATTGTTCTGATTATTTTTTTGAATAATACGGATTTCAAATAGGCGCATTTCTCATACTATTCAATGTACATATTTTCTAAGCTTTGTTCAGTTTTGTTATAGCCGAACGAACTAAATACATCACAATTTGCAAAAATATATATCTTTTTTTTTTGGATTTTGTGGCGGGAATTTTCTGTGCTATTTGCACTGTAACCGTCCAACCCTGATTTATTTGGAATTCGAAGAAAAAATCCCAGACATTTAATCATTTCTAACTAATATCCGCAGATCTCTCTGAATTTGTGTGCAAATTGACCCTTGTTCTGTTGCAAATTGACTAATTTTGTTATGATTTTTTGTTTTAAAAGATTTTTCACGATAATTACAGAAACCAAAATACCAACAGACACCATTCTCAATTTTTTGTTTCATATTCTTTTTGAACATCAAACAAAACCAGCCTGTTTTTTTTCAGTTTTTCATTCCAGATTGTTAATAATTTCAAAAGCAGTTTCTAATTTCTATATCTTCGCGCACGGGATTTCCATGCCTAATAATCGATTATTATTGCAGTGAAAATATTGTAATTTGTTAATTTTGTTCAAATAAAAAAAATCGACTATTTATAAATTATAGTCGACTATTTTCAACTTACTTTTCAAAATTTTTTTCACAAGACACAATCTGATTTAATCAATTATGATAGAAAAAATTATTAAAAAAAAAAATGTTTTGTGTGCTATTTTCATTCGTTCACAACCTTTGCTAACCGACGTTAGTTTTATAAATTAAACTTCATGATTTTTGCTCAAATTCAATCCCGTTTTTTTTGTAATTCTTTGACTTCAGCTCTATTTTCTAGCCCCACATTTAACCCCAGTTACTTATTGCCTCCTCCTCGTTTACCCTCGTTCAACGGTTTCAGCCATGAAGCTTCGGTGCGTGTTTAAATCAATTTTTTTTATATAAAAAAACTCTCCCTTGAAGATACTTTAAAAAATGCTCTCAATGAAAGACTATGCACAGCAATTTGGATTAATTTTTTCTTAAGACTGCTCATACTTAAAGTCTGAAGAAAACCTTTTAATTTTGAAAAGTTACAATCCTCTGAAAAGTTACCATACAAACTGTTGAAATTTAATTCCCAAAAGTTTCCTAAAATGAATGTTTTCTCTTTTTTTCTTTGTATAGAAGCATATAGATACAAAAAAAATCATTTCAATATCTCATGCAAAAAGATTTTTGTGTTGAAATGATTATTGTACACCAATTGGGATAATTCAACTATCAGAGCTCGCCATAGAAATATTCCGCAATGTTGCCAACGATACAATACTTAAAGTATTAATTTTACATTTAAAATGGTACGAAACCAGAGCGAAAAGGGGCCTTTGAAACCAAATTGTATTGAGCAGTTGCAGATTTGGTCGTACGTCAGTATTTGAAGTCCTGATTTGATAGCTTTCTTTCAGTAAAGTGGAGTTAAAGTCCAAATTTTATTCTTAATTGAAGTTTCTGAAAATGCAAACTCGACACAATTCAAGAATCATTTTTTCTAGTAAATTAATCTTTTTGTAGGTCATACCAAATACAAGATTACGCATCCGATATGCATTAAACACGACCTGGAGGTCTTTCAAGCCTGAGTACAAGAAGAACTTCATATGAAATATCCTTCTGATTTGATAAGTTTTGGGACAGTATTTTGTCTTTCGCTCATTGCTTTAAAATATTTTTGATGCTGACATTTTTAGTTTTTGATCATATTTGCCGCAAAAAAAACATTTTTCTTTAAAAAGTTCGAGAAAAGGGTTCGAACACAACAAATAAAAATTGTTTAATAGATTTCATAAAAAGTAAATGAGAAAAATGATAACTTTACAAGCTAATATCACTAATTTTGTGAATATAAGTGTGGTATGGAGAAAATCAAGAAATTTTGCTATTCTTACTAAAAGCATTGAAACAAATTTTCAAAAGATTCGCCAAGATTAGCTGTTCAATAAAAAATAAATTGTTTTGCCCTAAATATGAAACGAAAAAAAGTCATTTATGAAAAAGTATTAATCAGATATTTTTGTGCCATTTCATAAAAACATAAAATTGCATGAAAGTTTTATGGTTAATGATTTTTTATAGAAAAAAATTGTATGATTACTGTTTTTGTAAAAGCAAAAAAGTGTTTTTTTTAAAAAAATTTTCTCAAGAATTTTGAACAGTATCTAATATCGTTTGGCCACCAACAATTGGCCACCAACAAATTGAAAGGAACCGACTCGGCTCTTAACTCAGATTAGCTAAAATTAGCTGTTCAGTAAAAAACAAAATGTTTTGCCCTAAGAATGAAACAAAAAAAACTTCACTTATGAAAAAGTGTTAATCAGATATTGATCAGATACGCTTGTTTTTTCTTACTTCGAATGCTAAATTGATCATGAATTGCCTAAGGCGTATGAACAATAAGCTGTTTGTGCGTCTTTAAGAAATGGAAAAATAATCCAATATTTGTGTATCTAGAACTACCTTGTCCACACAAAAAATCTATATTTTGCATGCAAAAAAAAATTGAAAAACGAATTTTTTTTGACGACAAAATCAGTATTTGCAGACTAAGGAGATGCTTCCGCGATAGTCACAACTCAAGAAAAAGTTTCCATCACTGGTAAGGCCACCAGCAAATTGGCAGGAACCGACTCGGCTCATCAATCAGTCACCCACAAAATCAAACACTTGAAACTTATCAGCAAGGGAACATTTTATTGGGCGAGGTAATGCTTTGGCCATCAAGCTGACCTGTTGTTTTGAACTAGGACAAAAACTTCAACTCGTTCTGATTTTCACACTTTTGGGATACCGAAACTGAAGTGTCAGATTATATTTCACAGAACGAATGCTTCGAGAGATTATGATCGTCAATCCAATCAAATTTCATGAACAAAAAAATGAACACCTTGTGGCCACATTTATTATTCTACAGCCTAAAAACTCAAAAAAACTCAATAATAAAAATCAAATTATGCTGTTTAGTTTATTGAAACGTTTAAAAAGTTTACTTGAGTTTACAAATATAAGCTCTGGAAATGGCATCAACAGCATATAAAAAATACATAATCATGAATAATAACTTATAAAAGCTACAGTATTTCAAAGCAGTTTTTTATATGATCAACATCTTCTTCAAACTCAGCTCCAGTTTGAAATCAGCAGGACCAGAAAATCTTTCGGCCGTTCAGAGGCTGGATCCATCGGTAGTTCGCCTCCGTTTTCCCCCCTCTCAGATCTCCCAGACTGCGCAGTTTATCCATGTACTTCTTGGACACCTTGACTGGGTTCTTGAAGACGATGTGCAACACCACTTCGGCAAAAGGAGGAGTTGTCAGGGATCCCTGGTAGGCGTAGTATTCGGACTGTCCGGCCGGGACCAGAGTCGCGAAGTCCAGCGCTGGGATCTGAGTAGAGCCGGGCTTGATGACCTTGCTAATGTTTTTGCCGATGATGTCATCGAATATTTTCTGCGCGTTCGGGTCACTTTGAGGCGACTCGTCCATCATTATACCCCAAACTGCGGCGGCATCTTTGACTTCTTTACCCTGATTGGGTGCCCATTTGAAGACAAAGTGGGTCTCGCCTGCATAAGACTGACCCTCAATCAAGTGTTCACATCCATAGTCCCCGCTCTCTCCCCAATGACTGTGGAAATGGTCCAGGATATAGTTCCCCTGGAGAAGACTTCCAGACAACTGCCACTTGCAACCAGCTGCGGGAGCCAAACTCAAAGTGTGTCCATTATTCGTCATGGTCCAGTTCGCGTTCTGATCTCCTTCGACGCATTTCAGGTTGAACTGGGGAAGAAGCACTTTGTCGGCATCTTTTTCTTTGATGTCAATTGGTGATTGACGGGCACCTGTGATCGACACTGGAAACTGTTTCGGCCAGGCAAACTGGCTGCTGTGATGCCAAGAATCGTCGAAACTCATGATGATTTTATACTAGGCAAAATTTTTCAGTTTTTGTTGAATTAAAAATTTTAGTTCGGCAGCAGAACAACTCGATTGTATTTTACTTCTGCGATAAATAAAGTTAGTTATAAGTTTTCGCCGGCTGTAATGACTGCTGAAAGGTGTATCAAATTATCAACCAATCTGAGGTGAGATTTCTTCTGTATTCAGAGGTGTGTGTTCATCATTTCAAGCTACATGCGTTTCGCAAGTCGCCAAAGTTTGAACTTTCGGCTGGTTCAGATTTTTTAAAAGCGCACATGACAAACGCTGTTTTGATTTTTTTACACACAAAACCGATTAGCTCAAGTTATGATTATTTAATCTAATGGTTGAAAAATACAATACAAACCAGCATGGTACCGCGAGCAAGCTTTGCAAGAAAGTAAAGAATACGTTACGCCTCACAATTAATAAAAAATGAATAAACTTTTGTGGCATGAACATGCATTTTGTCATACCCCTTCAAACGATATTAGACTTAGCATGAACTGAACTGACAAAAAACAGAAGAAAGACCGCAATATTACGACAACACAGGGGTGGACTTAGGGGGTGGGGGCGGATACGCCCTCTCCTTAGGGAGTTGACCCTCTCGCCAACCAAAGGCTCCCCTTTTTGATATTATTTTATGACATCCATTTTAGGCCGACCAACCCTAAAAGTTTTATTTTACTACTTTCAAATGAGAGTGCGCCCCAAAAAAGACGCAATTTTGGTCAAACTTTTCCAAAATTGCCCAAAAACTGCTTTTTTTACCTGCTTTTTCAAAATTTGCCCGCAGCGCTAAATTTTTGCTAGGAATAGAGTCTTTTTATTGTTCTGGGAGTGCTCGGAACATCAAGTTGGTCAACCTAAAAAGAAGGTCGACAAAATTTTCGAAATTTTTTTGAAAAACTGCCTTCTCCCCTCAAGAATATTCTTGATTTGCCTTTGCGACAACACATTCAAAATTACTCGAAGAGCTGAAGAAATGAACCACCAATTGATAAAGTCTCATCAAGCTAAATTTTTAAACCGTTCTTTTTATTCCGGGGAATTTTTTAAGTAGTTCACATTACGACCAAGAAAACTGATTCATCATAAAGCCTCACTAATAGGGTTTTTTGTTAAACTTAATTTTGAGAAGTTGTTTTGTTAATCCGCATTAATGGGTAGAACAATCATATGACTCCCATGAGTGAAGTCAGAAGATTTATGTGAGGTTTTAATAGATGTAAGTTTACATTGTTCCGTTGGTTATCTTGTGTCAATTTTTTGATAAAACTAGCTGCCTTTGATTGCTCGCCCAAGAGTTTCAAGATAAAGCTTGTGAAAATCTGTGAGCAAATTAAATGATTATTAAAAAAAACTATCAAAAACGGCAGTACAAAATAGTGTTATACCCACGGAAAGCCTTTAGCTGAATTGAGATTCTAAATGATGTCCGAAATAAGAATGAGTTGTTCAACTTAAACTCAGTTTGTTTATTGAGAATCTGTTTTCTGTTTTGAACTGACCTCGAAGCATGTGAGATTCAGAACTCATAGGAACTAGTACATAATGGGTTTTAGTTTTACATCGTATTATCACAGATCTCTATAGATTATATAAATATACCAACTGGTTGTATATGTATATATATAGCGCCGAGTAACTGTATCAATATAGTAATATGTTTCTTGTTTTAGTCTCTGTATGATCTATCTGATACGATGAGTTTCTTTATTATACACTGTATAACATTTCCCCTTTTTGGAAAGAAAATTATATTTTCTTTACGGTTTTGTCCCCGGTTGATGTCTTAGGCTGAATATCTGCTGTGTCTTATGATGAAGGTAGATTGTCCACAGGGCTCTTCGACGTAGTTTCTCTTTCTCTTTGAACCGTCATTGAGTTTTTGATTGGCGAGATTTCCTTCAAAATTTTCATCGCTGAAGCAAAATTTTTCAGGAAACTGGCATCAGGGATAGTGGCCTGTGGTGGTCTGTCGATGACATATCTTGAACTCATTGCCCTTTGTTGTGAAGCAGCTGGTTTCGTTGAGTCTTTCTGATCGCACGCTTGTGTCGGGCTGTCTTTCTGATTGCACGCTTGTGTTGGGTATTTGTGGATTGTGTCCTTTTGTTGGCTGCAGGCTCTAATGTTCGCCAGTGTGTCAGATTCCAACTGAATCTCCACGCATTCTACTGAGGATGACAATGAAATCACTTCTTGGAGATCTTGTTGAGGTGTGACGATGCTTGTATCCTTTGTGATGTTTTCTGGTGTCGGGATTATTTCTACTTGACATACTACATTGCGAATGTCACTGCTTTGCGCTTCAATGGTGATGATTGGAATAGCATTGCCAAGTTTTCCGGCCAACGCACTGGTTCGATTTCTCATTGAGCGGCGACATTGTTGATCAAACTCCTCTGGCGTTTTTTTAGTGTCCAATCTTTTAGGAGCTGGCTTTTTAGGGAAGGCGTTTTCCGAATAAAATCGGTATCCGATAGATAAATAGATGTATCGCATTTAAATTCGATATCAGCATTTGCGAGTCTGCTTTTCTTCAGTTTGCTTACTGAGTTTTGTTTACCAGTTGGTTTTGGTTTGGCCGAAGTGTCTTGATTATCTGAAGTAGCTTTTGCTTTTGTATTACTTCTTTTGAATAGGCCGTCATGGCCCAGTGCTCGTCGATTTCGGGACTGGGAGAGAAGTTGTTCCAGGTTTTTTGGAGGTGGTTTTTTCGGGCTGACCTTCGTCTTTTGGATGTCTGGTACCACTTGCTTGGTGGCCTGTTTTGATTTGTCCTGCTTTGGGCTTTTTACTGAAACACGAGGTTTTGGTCTGGGTAAATGTTTATAAGCAACAAAGTCTTTAAGGTTTGCTGAGCGGCACTTTCCGTAGACCCGTGGGTCCGGCACAAAAGCGAGGTCATCGTGTCTTATAACCCTTGGTTGCTTGCCGTCCTCCAAAACCCAAGCGGTGTGTGGTGAGTAATTAATGATTCAGCCGTTTTCCAAAATTTTAAACTGCGCCCCAAAAACACCTGGTTTTTTTATTTTCCTGGCTATAGTGCCTGTTTTCCTGGCCGTTTGATTGTTTTTTTGTCCTAGTTTTGCGTTAATTTTAGCCAGCGGACCTTTAAAGCGATCTTTTAGAAAAACTACTGGCGCCCTTTCCATATTTTGTTTTTCTTACGCTGTCAAGGTTCGTATAGGAATTCTGGTCCTTATTTTTTCTATGTCGTTGCCTGTTTTTTCGCTTAGGTATTTACGTTTTTCTTTTATTAGATCGTAGGCGGTATTAGATAAAAGTAAGTGTGCACCTATAGGAAATCGATGCAATAGCTGACGGTCAAACTCCTCGTCACTTGTGTCCCAACCACCAAATCCCAGCGGGTCTTTGGCTGGGGTGGTTGCCTTCCTTTTCCCCATTGCTGCTGTTGGGGTTACTGGTTCTGCGGCAACCGTTTGCTTGGCGACGGTTGTGTTCCTTGATGATAATGGTATGTGGTCTGGCACTAACTGATGTTCCTGTTGATTTTGACGATAATTAATTTTCAACTCGTCCTCACTGTTTACATTCCTATTCCCCATTGCTTCTGCGGTTAGTGCTGGTTTGTTTAGAAGCTTTTGGTGTAAACAAGCAAGTTTGGTGTTTTCCCATGACACATTTGACGATTTTGGAGATGTGGCTATATTGCTTAGCGGCGTGTTTGGTTTTCTGCCAAAATGCGCTTCGAATGGGGTTGTTTTTATTTGTTGCGATTGGTGTTACTCTTAGAGTCTTGATAAGTTCAGCCACATCTGATGCAATTTTATATGGTTTGTTACGGTTATCAATTTTCATAACCGAGAGTCTTGCTTTTAGAGTTCTTATTAGTTGTTCCACCATACCAATAGATCGGTGATCATCAACTGGTGCGAAGATAAATTTGATGTTATTATCTTTACAGTACAACATAAATTTTTTCGCCCGAAACCCTTGTGCCTGATCACACCGTATGTTTCGTGGAACCCCATGATTGACTATGTGGGTTTGCATAAATCGAATTATTGTGTCCGCCTTATTATTTGTGACTACTTTGGCTGATGGGAAACGGGAGAAACGATCGACCCCTACCAGAATGTACACATCCTTATCATTTTCGTCCGGTAGCCGCCCCGCGAAATCCAATTGGATTTCTTCGTTTGGTTCAACTACCGCGTCTAATGACGTGAAATGAGTATTAACCGATATAACTTTTAGGTTTTTACTTTCTGTCGGCAATTTCTGGAAATGTAATCAATTAGCCTCATTTTGCTACCCGCGAGATGTTTTATATCAAAGTCAAATGGTAATAGTCGGTCTATCCATCTGGTCAATCTACTTTTATAAATTTTGTTATTTTTGTTGCATTGCAGCGCGCTAATTAGGGCTTGATGGTCGGTAATTAATGTAAATCGTCTACCGTATAAGTAGTAATTAAAATAATCTTTTGCCCAGACTGCCGCGAGCAGTTCTAATTCATTGACCGAGTATTTGTTTTCGCAGGAGTTTAGGAATCTTGAGGCATAGGCGATAGTTGCCCATTTGTCCGGAGTTTTCTGTTCCAGAGCACATCCGATACCATCTCGGCTAGCGTCACAAACCACACGTGTTTCCCGGCCACTTACAAAATAGCGATTTTCAGTGATACTGCTAACTGCTTCTAATATGTTTTTAAAAGCTTTTCCATGAATATCATCCCATTTAAAATGGAACTTGTTTTCATTAGATAGCAACGGACGGAGTGGAGTGCATAATTGCGCTAGGTTAGGGTTAAATTTGTTGAAGTGATGTATCGAGCCCATAACGCTTTTTAATTGTTTGAATGTTTTTGGATGATTCAGATGTACTATTGCGTCTGTCTTTTTCTGCATTTGGATTTTGTCATATTCATCAATAACATACCCCAACTATTCTACCTGTTCACATTCAAATTTACTCTTTTCTAGCGATATTGCCTTATTTTCCGCGTCCAGCTTGTCTAA